GTTAGTAAGTCCCGCTAAACACTTACGTCAAGTAGAGAGAGGTTTGCGTAAACAGCACGTGAGACGGCATTAGCTCGGGACTGCGAAACTTTTTACCTACTCTGCTGCCATGAATGTAATGATAGATTATCAGGAACAATTCTAAAGTGACTAATAGACATTGGATTAACCTTAAGCAGCGTTTGTATTCCCTTGAACACGAGCTTTGATCATAAAACAGCAACGGTAAGACATCATTATTGTTATGGTTTTGAAAACAGTTGTTTTTTTTCTTCTCTGTTCTGGCTGATATCTCAGTGAGTTTGTGTCCTACAGTGATGATACAGTGATGATACTTATAACAACCGCCGGCGGGGACCTTCGGGCTTAACAGGTTAAAGGACAGAAATAACTTTGTTTCTATAGGTAAATACAAATCTGAGTTGACAAATATGACATGTGGGGTTCCTCAAGGCTCCATCTTGGGGCCTCTTCTCTTTAACATCTACATGCTACCACTGGCTCAGATAATGAAAAACAACAAAATAAGTTACCATAGCTATGCGGATGACACACACATTTACATAACCATTTCACCAGGAGACTATTCTCCAGTTAAAACACTGAGTAAGTGCATTGAACAAATCAATGACTGGATGTGTCAGAACCTTCTCCAATTAAACAAAGACAAAACTGAGGTAATGGTCTTTGGAGCCAAGGCAGAACGTATAAAAGTTAGCGATGAGCTTCATCCTGCAATGTTCAAAACAACAGATAAAGCCAGAAATCCAGGTGTAGTCATGGACTCTGACCTGAGTTTCAACAGTCACATTAAAACAATTACTAAATCAGCCTACTATCATCTAAAGAACATATCTAGGATTAAAAGACTAATGTCACAGCAGGATTTGGAAAAACTTGTCCATGCTTTTATCTTCAGTAGACTGGACGTGGTGTCTTTACAGGTCTCACTAAAACATCTATTAGAAAGCTGCAGCTGATTCAGAACGCCGCTGCTCGAGTCCTCACTAACACTAAGAAAGTGGATCACATCACTCCTGTTCTGAAGTCTTTACACTGGCTTCCTGTGTGTCAAAGAATAGATTTTAAAATACTGCTGCTGGTTTATAGAGCACTGAATGGTTTAGGCCCAAAATACATTTCTGATCTTCTGCTAAATTATGAACCATCCAGATCTCTCAGGTCTTCAGGGACTGGTCAGCTTTCTGTCCCCAGAGTCAGAACTAAACATGGTAAAGCAGCGTTCAGTTATTATGCTCCAAATATCTGGAACAAACTCCCAGAAACCTGCAGGTCCGCTGCAACTCTTACTACTTTTAAATCCAGGCTGAAGACTTATCTTTTTGTCGCTGCTTTTAATTGAAACTGAGCCGTTGTGTTCATCAGTAAAGTGGAACTTCTGTGTGAACTATTCATATCTTAAACTGCACTGTAACATTTTATTCCTGTACTTTTTATTCATGTATTTTTCTTTTAATGTTTCTTTTATTATCTTTTACTGTTTTTAAATGCCTTTGTCTGAATGTCTTTCATTTTTGTAAAGCACCTTGAATTGCCTTGTGTTGAAAGGTGCTATATAAATAAACTTTCCTTGCCTTCTCTTGCCTTGCTATTACCATACTGGTTACTTTGCAGCCCGGACATTTCCCCCAAAACACATTTAGACGCGATCGCAATACAGAAGTACCTTTCAAATCCGATCATTTTAAAGACCTACTAAATCATATTTAAGACCTTTCTTATTTTTTTGATCATATTTAAGACCTTTTTAAGGCCTTCATTTCTGATTATCAAATTTAAGACCCCGCGGGAACCCTGTGAACGGAAGTCTTTTTTGAAAACGAATTCGGTGCGTTAACGCAAACGTTCCCGTGTAAATGGAAAATGAAAGGTTAATGTCCACTATGTTTGTATATGTACATGTATGCGGAACTGCAGGACGGAGACCAGAACAAATGTCCTTACGGGGACAATAAAGTATATCGTATCGTAATCCTCTGCGCGCATACATGGATATTAACACCAGCATGGCTAAAGAAGAAGCACATTTGAGCAAAGCTTAAGAGTGCAATGAAGGAACATGAAGCACTGCCTTTTACACTAAATGTAATGACTGTTTTAATACAAATTTAATACAACTTTAAAATGTCTTTCAATCTTTTGTTACTCATTAATGAAAATACAATCTTGTATACAGCCGTATTTCAAGATATATTTAAAAATGTTGGATTTAAATGGACTGTAAGAGTTGTGTGAATATATTTATAGTATAGATATTGGCAGTAAACAAATAATCAATACATATTTAAAAGATAGGGAAAAACTTACATTCAATACATTTTATAAACAGTAAGTCTATAGATAATCTAGATGTTGTTCTTCTAATGTATGCTTAGAGGTGTAATATGACATTCAGAGCATTGATATCATATGGGGATGTTTCTGGATGGGATGTATTCTGGTTTATAGCACTGTCCTGTCCCCTGTAGTGTTTAGGAAGCATAACACCTCCCATTTACCTCAGGTTAGCACTGTTTGCTATGTCAGCATGTAAGCTGTTGTTTGTATTGTCTTGGCTGTTAGCAGTGTTACTGTTAGCCAGTGCCATGGTGAGTACCCTATGGAGGCAATCCCTTTGATCTGAATTTCATTTTCAGCCCCTTAAAGTGGTAAATGTGCTTATTAAATAAAGGGTGAGCAGTGAGAAACTGTAAACAGAAACTGACCCCATTAACTGTTGTTTCTTAACTACACTGTAGAATTACCATTGCCCACAATAGCTGCCTCGATCCATTTGACTTTACAAAGCCGGCAGAAAGCTTTACTTTTATCCGTGATTTTGCAAAAATGCTTATTTCTCAGATGGTTTGATGTCATGATATCTGTAAGACACAACTTGTTACCCTTTTTCACAGTAAAAAAGTGAACGATGGCCTAGTTTACACAGTATATGAAACAATGGATCAGAGTGACAGGGCACAACTGGTGCGCACAGTATTAAAATCAGACTGATCTTGGCCACACGTTATTTTAAATATAAAACCAGAAAAGAACATTCGACTCAACTTTGTCCTTAGCATTACTCACTGGTGGGGGTCACTGCTTGCTCTTCTCAAAGCCTTTCAGTCAAGGCTTCACATCCTTGACTCCCCAACATTTTCCCAACAAAATATGTATCTTCTAACCTTCACTTTTCAAATGATTCCTTACAGCTCCATCTAACAAACCGATTCTACAAAACCTTGTTAGCTATAGTCATTGGTGCTGGCACTATCAGCATGCACAAACTATTTGAAATGATTACTTGGAAACATCAAAATTAGATGAAATTGTTCATATTTTGATATTAATATTATATATTTCAACTGTTTATAAATTAAAGCTAATCAGTGGCATCAGCAAACTCTTTTTAGCTTCTCAATGTTGGTCCATCTAAACTGTTACAATTGGAGCTGTTCAACCCACAAACTCAACTAACTATTTCAATGCCTACCAACAAATGATCATTGACAAAGATAAAATCATAGTTTTAGAGTGATAAAGGAATCAACTTCCATTTAACACTGGGTAATAGTACAGGTAGCCATACACCAATCCAAGAGCCCACACACGTAAAGCCTTTTCTAAGTAGAAATTAGATTTATAAGCAAAAGTATAATATTGACAAATATTGCCTTGATGTAATTCACGCAATTATGAATTCAGAAGTTAACCTGAATGTTTTCCTCAGAACAAACAAGTTTTAAAGCGCAGTATTATTATGTTTGACTGCATGAAGCTCATCCCAGTTCAAATAAGCATAATAAAGCCAAAAACAATATATACACATCCATGTTGTGAGATGAAAGCATATAAAATAATAGCCAAAACAATGAACATAATTGGGTGGTGATGTTTTAATAAGGACTTTTTCCACATTGCCGCACGTCCATGGATCCTCTTCCAACAAAAACTAAACATAGATCATATAGACAGTCAGCAGAGACAACTGTAATAAAACAGTTTAAGAAAAGGCAATCACACACTGATTCTCACATATGTAATATAGCCTACTGTCTTCAACAGATGTCCTGCCTCATCATATATTGTATGTCAGTGTTGTGAGTAGTGTTATCTGCTTGAACACCCCTGAGAGGATGCCCATGTTCCTTTTAGATATAATTTCTTTGTGGCGTGTTTGAAATGTGATCTTTACTTTAAAACATAGAAAACTTGTTTTGTCTAACTATATAATGTGTCCTTGGAAGTCATCAGACATTCGCAGCCCCCCCATCTCTCTCTGTCACCACAATGAAGTGAACATATGACACCATGTCAGCATGACAAAGGCTAATGGTAGTAAGTCAAAGAAGCTGATGTTGGAACCAGGCTTCATGCAAATTCTGGCACAGGTTCCAGAGTGATGTTACGCACGAGGGCAGCGTGACCTTCCTACTACACATTTGGGCAACTTTTACGCCCAAAACTGTCGGAGTCACTATTTAAAAAAATTCGCACATCAACTGCAAAAGGAGCTCACACATACTTATTAACACTGCTCGATACAAAAATAAACTAGTGTCTCATATTATATGCCAAACATCCAACAAAACAGTCACACAGATGTAAAGGCTGTGATGACAACATATATTTTTGGCATGTATGCGCACCTTCAAATCATCACTCCGTCTGTAGCTATTCACCATGACCGTTCACACAGCGCCGCTGTCACTTTACCACGACTTTCAACTCGGCGACAGACTGAGGAGTTCAGCCCGTAAATAGCATCTTATCTCTTCACTACAGTCGTGAAGAATTATGTCAAAGTATATCAGAAGCGACACAAAGTATACGCATAAATTAACCAACATAGTCTTCGCAAAGCATGAGAAGGGTTAGTTTCGCCTGCTAAAGGGCTTAGTACACCGCTTTTTACATGCGCGACGCCCTCCCCTTTACTTCCTAATTCCATTTGTCGTCAATATTACAAAGCATTTTCCATATACATGGTTTTATCCTACCTCGTAAAGGTCTCCTGAAGCCATTCTCGGGTGCGGACTCCGGCGGAGCGAGGTTCTTGCCTGCCTTGTTGGCTTTTTTTGGACCCTACTCTCTCGGTGTTTCGCCGAAAGCTCCGATAGACGGGAATTAGCGAGCAGCCGTGTTATTCTGAGCAATCCGCAGTAGCAGATCAGCAGACAGTGTCAATCGAGCCCGGCGCTCTGCGATGGATCGTTCCACACTTTAAACAAACAACCATCGGGGCGGTGCTGTTTACCCAGACCCAAGTCGAGGACTGTCTGAAAATTAGCCCCCAGCTAAAGAATGCACAGCCTGATGGTCTGCATGCGCCCTGTGTTGCAATCCAACTACTCAACGGGAGATGGTATGCTAGATGTCCTGTGTTCACTGAGACCAGCTGAGACAGTTTCCCCTCTATCACCCACTCTGCTCTTTACTGTAAACAGAAGATATTATTTAACCTTGTTTAAGAGTAGCCTACATCAGGAAACATTCAGAAGAAACTATTTTAAAGGAGTAATGACTTACTGGAAGTTTCACTCCTATAGCTTTAAATTCATGCTCATGCATATCCCCTTTTTACTTTCGTGTCACAACAAAATGTGAACTAATTTGAAAATATGTATACAGACATGATGTATTAATTCATTAAAAATACAGTACACAATAATCACATTTCCATTTTACAATCCCCCTGTTGCATTTAAAATAAGCTCATTCAACAAGGACACAGTTGGGCTGCATCAACACAACATTATCCATGTTGTACTCCACAGGTTTATGGGAGTATATGGTAAAGATGAATATGGTAAGGAAACACGTGAATAAGCATATCTTCATTACTATTTGTGACTTTGAAATAATGTGACTTCAACTAAAATGGTCAGAAGTTCTTAATCGTTAAAGGTTAAAGAATGATAGTAAATATACTGTTATCATAGACTACCTGATTTATGTGTCTTGTTCTTTGTATTTAATTCTCAATGTAATTATTCTTTATCAACCATTGTATATCTGGAATTTTTGATGCCATGTACAATGTAGAAATAATAATTTCAAGAGGTCAACTGAATTATGCAGTGTGGAAAGTAGCAATACATTTGATTTATTTTGAAATAGATTTTCCTTCTATCATTCTTTTAAAACTACACATTATGACCACATGCCTCTGCATACATAGTCGACCACTTACTCAACAAACCAGGAAAAACATTGTTTTTCTAAGACAAACTCTGTACTCATATACAGTAAAATGCTGTGTCTTGGAGCATTTATAAAACAAATTCTTCCTGCTTCACATTATTGATGCTAACGTCTGGGGAAAGGAGCTCAGTAATGATGTTGATTTGGAGCGTCTTTTCCTCTGAGTGTGCTACAAAGAAAAAACTCAACTCTCAACATGCTGTTTTCATTTAAATAAAACCATCCCTGTGAAATAAATTGCTGAATAAAATGAGCACATTTGGGTGACGTTGGGTTTAAGCATTAAGTTGAAATGGTTAAGGTTGGGGCTAGAAAATGCATCAAAATGCATTTTAACAACCATTGTCCTCACAAGTACGTACATTTACAAGTATGTGTGTGAACATAAAAAGGTGTCCTGGGATCTTGTGACTCCATTTATTGTGGTGAGGCATATGTTACAGTACACTTCAAGAGGCACTCTCCCTTTTGCATTTCTTTTAAAGCTACTGAACACTTTTCTTTAAGTTCAATGAAGCCGAGAAGGGAAATACTCTTGAATGGTACAAAAAAATAGGACTATGGACTTGAACTGAAAAAAATAAACATTTATAAAACCGTTCCAAAAGGCCAGATCATGCAGTTTCAGGCCATTTAAAATCTTACTGTTGAGTTGTTACTGTATTAAATAGTGTACCTTTGTCCTGTTTCGTAAATGAAAAGCAGTTCAAACTGTATTCCGAAAGCATGGGGAAATGGCATAACAGGAAGTGTTATCTGGATAGATTGCAGTTAGATGTATATCAGAAGACAGTTGGTTAAATATTTTCTCCATGGGGAAATATAACGTATTCATCCAATAATGTAATATAAGTTACCAGATCATGTTTCACAATAAATTCCAATTGCTTAGTTTGCCATATACTGTATGTCTTTCCAGGTGACCATATTTGCCCACGTTTTTTTTTACTTAAAGTCACTGTTATGTTATGTGCTTTTTCATGTTGAGCTATTTTCTATTGTAAGAAGGGGGATTGTGACTTGTCTTTCATTTTTTACAATAAATAATTCCATTCACAGCTGTTAATCTTTAGTGATGGTACAGTGTTAATCAATCAATCAATCAATCAATGTTTATTTATATAGCCCAATATCACAAATGTTACATTTGTCTCAGTGGTCTTCACAGTTTGTACAGAATATCAGTATGACAATACGACACCCTCTGTCCTTTGACCCTCACATCGTACAAGGAAAACCTTCCAGAGAAAACCCACAGTTTAAAGGGGAAAATGGGAGAAACCTCAGGGAGAGCAAACAGAGGAGGGATCCCTCTCTCAGGACGGACAGACGTGCAATAGATGCCGTGTGTAAATCGAAAAGATAATACATTTACAACATAGGTAGACCAAATGTTTGGAAATGCATGTGTGTATAATAAGAAGATGAATCCACGAGGATGTCAGCATTCTTGTGGGAGCCATCAGTGAAGTAGTATGATGAGTCAGGCAGGACCGCAGAGACAGGTTCAGCCACGACTCGAAGTCCAGGACTCAGATCCAGTACTCAGGACAGAGGATCCAGGACACACGACCACAGCAACAGGATTAGCCTCGACTCAGGATCCCGGCATATATATGGACACAAAAAAGAGATTTGGGGGAAGCTGGGTTATAAAGGGACATTAAGAATGTAGCTTATTATGTTCCTTTAGTATGTTTGATTTGACTATATTAGGAAGTACATCAATGATTTAACCTGTAATGTTGAACTCAAAACGAATGACATGACAATTATTAAATCAGGCATTTTCTTATTTTTGGATTTCGCTATTACTTTCTAAATAATCATCACTGCTCATTATCAAATGAGGCAGGTAATCAGGTGGTTAATGGATGAAATTGGATGGATGTCCCTTGGTCCCTCCTCTTCCCAACTATCACACAAGTTGTTGTTGTTCCCTACCTGTCCACCAGATGACCTCAGATTTTTTCACCTGACTTCCTCATTCCTATGCTCACATGTTCCAACTTCCCTTATCTCTCACTCACTACTTTACCATTCCACTTTGTTGGTTTATCCTCATTGCTGCATGGAGATTTCATTAGTTGTTTGCCTGTTATCGGTCCGTCACCTGCCCGCCATTTGGACTCTCAGCCTTAATAATAATAATGCATCACATTTTTTATTAGAGCGCTTTTGCAGGTGCTCAAAGCGCTTTACAATTACACATTACACATATTAGACATGTAAGAGTAATTACTGTGGACATTACCCACAGGAGCAAATTCGGTTGTCTTGCCCAAGGACACAACGGCCGGTACCACTTTACAATAAGACTACCCTTAGTTTGTAATTTATTTATTAATTAGGTTGTGAACACTTTATAAATCATTAATACGCTTTTATAAGACACGAGATAAACAGGGCAACTGTGACCGGTTGCTTGCCAAATAGTGAGCCCACATTTATCTGTGCTGCTAAGCCTTCTATTGGCACTTAGATTAATTTGTCTTCTTCATCAGCCAGCATCCTTGGTATCTGTTGTTCACTGAGTTGATTCCCCCCCTTCCATCTTGATGTTTCTTGGCATCTCTTATGACCATTTATGAATGAGTTACTAACATTTATAACTGCCAAAAAAGGAGCCTTAGTCTACGGACATGTCCTTTGACGGTCGACCTAGCTCTTTCTATATATTGGATATGACTGCCGTCTGGGGGTTCACAAACCACCTGCTGTTGTTTTATGGTGTTGTGGTTGTACCCCATGTTACTCAGCACTCACCTGTATGCCCTCCACTCATCACTAATAATGCTACTTCCTGACTTAACATGCCGTCGAATCAGAGGGACAAGGTGGCATCTTGATCGTTTCTCCACTAGTTTCAAGTGTCAGCCTTTTGTCTTTAACTCTCATCATACCGAAGACCCATTTCTTCCTTCTCCAGGTATGTCCAAAGCGTCCACACACATGCATACTAACAAAAAATAAATCATCACATCATCTTAGTTAACAACAAAATGCACACAAATTACATACAAATTGTTGCACATGATGTTTCAAAAGGCCATACTTGTGTATTAGGTGCATTGTATAACATAATCTAAGGATAATTATACAGTAATGGTCCATATTGATTTTTTATTCTCTTGTACAAGAAAGCCCAGTCTATAACTGCCAAACATAGGAACTGGGTACAGTACCTTCTCCCAGACACAAATACTCAAATAAAATAGTTTATTGGTGTTACCAATGCTTACTATTTATTTGATACCAATTTGGTAATAAAAATAATAAAAATAACAAGGTTTGGGTTCGTTCTTCAGATATGACTGACGTTAACTTGTAAGCTCAATAATTAACTCCAGCTCAACCAACCATATTGTAATATCTAAGTAATCATCTTGAAATATGACATTAATATTTGTAATATACACAGGTTAATTTCACATACACTATGTGTCATGATTCTTGTGTTATGTCACGTTTTAATTTTGTATGTCTTGTTATGGGTGTGTTTCTGTTCTCCTTGTCATGTTTTTCCTCCCTGTGTATTGTCTGGTCTTTTCCCCTGTGTTTTCATGTCTGTCGTTAGTTTCCCTGGTGTGTCTAAATTCCTGATTGTTTTCACCTGTCACCCCTTCTGTGTCTCCTTTGCTCATCAGTGTCAGCCCCGCCCCTGATTGTTCCCACCTGTGTCTTGTTACCCTGTGTTTAAATTCCCCTGTATCCCAGTGTTCAGTGTCAGTTCGTTTTTGTCTTTTGCCCTGGAAGGTCTTGTTTCTTGTCATGGTCAGGTCTACGCTTATTGTCTCTTGCCATGGTCAGGTCTATGCTCTTTTGTGCTCAAGAATAGTTTTGTTCCTCACTACGTGAGCGATTTTCCTTTTGGTCTCATTTTTTGTCATCTCATCCTGAGATTAGTTAGTGACCTTTTTTGTTCATCGTGTTTTTTGGAAAAAAATAAAGTATCTTACCAATACTTTACCTCTGTCTCCCGGGTCGTGCAATTGGGTCCTACCTACTGAGTGCCTGAGTTCTGACTGAACGAACTGACCAACAATGGACTCAGCCGACCCAAGAACACTTCATGCTGCCCTGTCAGCACGAGGCGAGCAGA